GACTGTCACTTTGACATATTTGGACACGTGTACATGACAAAAGCACTTAGGTGGACTCCGCAAAGTTATTTTGGTCAACTACAACCTCCCCTCCCTAAATACCAAAAACGCCACGGGGATCTCTTGTGTGATTGGTTAGTTCTAATGATTGATTGACACTTTGATTTAGCATGGAAATGAGGTTGTATGCGGTTCCTACCAGAGGCTCCGACGAGGTCTCGCTGGTCTCACCGCTTCGCGGCTCAAAATATACGTGCCCGGGAGAAAAATCGTCGAGCCTCTGGGACCAGGGTACTGAAGTTATTATCTCTGAAGTCGGAAGTCCCTTCTCGGCTTTTGTACAAAATACCCTTGCATGCAAATCATATGTTTGCCATATAAGGGGTGAATATCTCATCTAGTAGGAGATTCGTTTTCTTAGAAATTACGGAAATGTTGATATTTAATTCAAGTGCGGATCCAGGGGGGGGGGGGGCTAAGGAGGGCTGATGCCCCCCCCCTTCACTCCTTCAGCAGAAAAAACGATGTTTTTTTATATTGTTTTCCATTGTGTTGAAGGAAGAAACTCAATTAGCCCCCCCCTCCCCCCCATAAATATTGGCTTGATCCGCCCTTGAAATTTTAGAGGTTTCCACGATCCGTTTGCTTTTGGTGTTCAATACTGAGTTGGAAGTTAGACCGAACGGGTTCGAATTATGCGAGCACATTATCTTTCGTACAAGTAAGTTTAATATGATATGATATACGTGTGCCAGTAATATTTGTTGTGGAAGGTATATATGTACTTTTTTTTTTTGTGCGTGCCTGCCTTTCCTTTAGTTAACATATTTAGTAAAAAGAGAATGCAAAATCCCAAGCTTTGTTGAAAGAGTATTATTCGTAGTTGTGAATGGCTAGCTAGTTGTGTGATTCGTACAGAGGCACCCAGAAGCAACGCGGTTTATTAAGCAAATTAATGACTCGAGAAGATAGCCTAGTGCGTGCTTTACTTATATTGCATGGTTCTCAGTTTATAGGGCGAAAATAGTGCTTTTTGGCGTCTGTTTTCTATATGCAATGGTTCCCTGAAAGAAAAATGCTTCTTCTATTTTATATAACTAGTATGACGCAAATTATTTCCTGACGATGTTGTACAAAGATATGGAAAATTACAAGTTATATATCTCGCACTTTCTGCTACAGTAAAGTGAAAAATATCGTTTAGTTTCTGTTGTCTTTCAAACTTATRCTTGGAAGAAAATGTGATTTATCAAAGCTTACACATTGTTTGAATGACAAAGAAATCGTACAATCAGTTATTCGTCTATCTATTCACGATTTGTGTTTCTAATTAGAATGATAAATTCTAGCCCCGAACATTTTAAAAGCAATCATAAAAGCCTCAGTCTTTTTTTAAATAGGCTTACTTCGGTTTCGTTACCTTGAAAAATGTCAAACTTGCTTGAGCAAACACTTGACGAGAAAATTTCAAAAGCATTAGGATGTACAGAATGAGGTATGAAAAGAAAAACATATCTGTAAACAGTTCAATTTTATCTATTATTTCATCTAATTTTATCATAATGAATGTGGAATTTGACTCGAAAACAAAGTTTTCAAAAACGCCTTGCATTTTCCAGTCGTTGCTAGTAGTGAGAATCTGAAGCAAATCAGGATCACTTCGCTTGCCTTTTCCTTTATTTTTTGAATTTAAAAATAGTGGAATCGCGATACAAAACTAATTGCGATTTTGAGACAGCTATACCACAAGATATAGACGGCGTTGGAAGAAATTATAAATCCGTAGATTCGCAACTCCGCCAAAAACAGAAAATATTTTCTACCAACTAGCCGTCAATACTTTGTCGGTACAAAATCGCAATTAGTTTATAACATTGTTGTTGCGTTTAGCTTTTCCATTTCATGAGTGGTGAAATAGGGTTGATCCTCCCTCTAGAACATTAACAGGATGGAAGCTATAGATTAAAGCTAGTCGCAAATTCGACTTTTCAGGCATTTCGCCGATTTTTTACGTGCCCAGTATCATTTCAGTTAACTGATTCGGAGATTTTTAAAGTGCTAGTCTTACGAAAATTACACTATCCCTGGAAATTGCACCATATAAAACTAGGTATGTAATATAGCTTACTGTCCATATTCTTTTTCGATACGAGACTGGGATGATGTTACATTTAGCCGGTAAAGTTTGGCCGTTTGAGTCCGCCATTAAGGTATTAGGATACTAAAAATGACGATTTGCTCGAAAAAAAATTTTTTTTTGAAACTTCGTAACTTTAAACTTTTGTCTTTCATATGTTATAGTGAAACTTCTTACAATTTTTGATTGGAAAAGCCAAAATTTTGAGACAAATCGAAATCGTGACTTTATCAAGAACGGAAATGTCCCGTCGCTTGCAATAACGTTGAGTCCAAATGCTCCTTTGTCCTTGTAAAAAGATCCTACATTGCGATCGTCCAGAACAACAGATAATCTGATAAGTGAGGACAAAATGGAAGGCTCAAGGTGTTTTGGCCAACACCATCGTGGCTCCCTGCAGCTTCCGGCTCCAAACAAAGAAATGCATTTTTCTCGAATCTTTTCCCCCGCTAAAACCACAACTTCAAAAAGCTAAAAGTCCCTTGGATTTCATTCGATTTTTCTAAAATTTGGAGAGTTTAAAAAATAAATCATTATCCAAAAAAAGGTTTTTCCGATTTTCCGAAATTTAACCTTACCATTCTCCCGTGCGTCATCAACTTGAGCGAGCGCGCCCTTTCCGTTTCGTTTTAGGTGGTGTGCGACATGAGACACGTGAAACGATCGTCCAATCAAATTCCCCGATTTTCTTAACCGGATGTCACACAAAGACATGAGTTTGAAGCATTTTTTCAAATACCTAAAGCTGAAGAAAAATGCTCCTTATTCCCTTAAAAATTAAGAGAAATAAGAAATTGTTGCAAAGAGATAGAAAGAATAAACCTTCTTTTACGAATATGAGAAGTTTGAGGTGAAAGTGAACTAAATATATTTTGTTTCTTCGCTTGTAAAGGGGAAGTTTATTGAGCAATTGTTTGTGTTTCACTTGTTGTTACTTTTACCGGCCGCGGAAGCTCCTAAGACTCCTTTCGGTTTGAAGTCGAAAGCATTAAATTTAGGATGTGTCTTCAATATGTTCTTAGACTGGAATCGATTCTAATAAAACAAATCTTGAGAAAAAACAAAAGAGGTTTCATTTTTTTTAAATAAAAAAAGCCATAAAAAGCAATAACTGAAAAAATGGGAAGGTAACTTAAGCAGGTACTTTTATAAGCACCACCCACAGTCGAATCGATTAAATTTTTGAATCAGGCTTTCTGTAGGTGTCAAACGATGACTTGAGTATTAGGAACTGGAATGACACCGAACGTTTGATTTCTTAGTCAAATAACTCGGAAAAAATGGAAACCTTACTTACTAAAGAAAACTTGCTTTACGCTGTCCTATTTCTTGATAACAATGAACTATTACATAACGTTTCTTGACTGTTTTTGATCTTCCTCGTCGAATCTACGCGTGCGGTTATAAAATAACATTAAAATTATCAATGACACTGAATAACTGCGTACGACCTGGTGACTAATGTATGCGTGATATGCTAATGACCATCACTCTTTCGGTAGGTTTTCTAAAAATGCGTAATTTCCTGTTGGTTAGAAAAGTTTACGAGCTGAATTTTGAGCCCGGTTGTAAAGTAGATTTCTTTGTTGATTCTTTCCTTTGATTCAATATGGCTTTTCCCCGGTTTCTCCTACTTCGGTCAAACTAAATTTAAATGTATAGTTTGTTAGTAATATAAATTACTAAATAATTCTAAATTTGTTTCAAAAGCTTATTTCTTGAGATATGTGAGAAAATTAAGCCCAATTTGGGACGTCATTTTGTTGATACATGCATAGCGGTTCTTGTCAAAGCAAGACATCTACATAATAACCTATTCTGCGCTTGCTCAGAAGGGCTATCGTTTTCTTGGAAATGAAGTAACTGTTTTGGGGGCCTCATGCTTTTGTTTGCTGTTAGCGTTGTATTCGCTTATTGATTAAACCAAAAAGCTAGCTGTATTGTGTATTCACTTCGTAAACGTAGGTATACTTTATGTCATTTCAGACGTATTCAAACTTCCGACCAAATCCAATCGTGCGTGTAAATTGATTATCATAACGCACAAGAAAACTTTTGGTTATGGCAAAATACGCTTTGCCGTATTGGCGAATTCTATCAGCTATTCCCTTGGTGCTACCTAACGACTACACTTGGGAAGAACGGACAGAAACATGCAGAAAGAAACTTAGAAGCATTAAACGTACAGGCCTTGCTGTGGTACCAAAGGCACTGGAACAACTGAGGAAGATCAAGGGACCTGTGTGTGTCGTGTCTATAGCTGGTCCTTGTAGGAAAGGAAAATCTTACGTACTGAGCAAGGCGTTTGACCAAGGAGAGGTATTCACTTAACCATATTTTATAAATTCAACTAGTGCGCTGATTCAGAGGAATATTGGAATATTCTCCAGTCATTTTAGATTTTTGAAAAAAAAGGAAAAAATGTCTGATGGCCGAAGTTGAGCGAGCGCAGAAAACAGAGCTACGCGATAGACGTCTTCACTACTCGCCGCCATCATATTATTTTTTATTTTTTATTTTTTTGTTATTATTATTATTATTATTGTTATTATTATTATTATTATTAAAAATTATTATTATTATTATTGTTGTTATTATTATGTGCAGTACTAAAACGTATAGATGCAAAAAATCTATGAGCTGTATAGGGCCCACAGCGTAACCTATAGTGCCTAAAAGGAAACCTAACTACAATATATTTAATAAATGTCCCTATAAAATCGTTGTATCATTATTATTTGTATATAATGTTTTTCTGTCTGTAGGTATTTTCACTGGGACATTCAATGACACCAGAGACAATGGGAATATGGATGTGGATTGTACCACAGAAATTCAAAGACAGAAAAGGTCGGGACTTCACCTTGGTTCTTCTAGACTCTGAAGGGTCAGACTCTCCAAATGCCAAACAAGAAGAGGACTACGGGATTTTCACATTGTCTGTTCTCTTGTCATCCATATTGATTTACAATTCCGTTGGGGTGGCAAACAGATCAGATCTCGAAAATCTGGAGTATCCTTGATCGCAAGTTTTKAATGTTTGCTTTGCTGATAAATTATCGCTTGCAATTGTCGGCCGATTCTTGATTTTTACAGACACTCGCTCCTAAGTGATTTTTGGTACCTTCTCCACTTCTCTTCCCTAAATATTTTTCTAAATATTTTTCTACATACTTTCTTGGATGTGTATAGCCTTGGTTACCTGTGACCCTATGGCCATTTTTAAGAATAAGCTCTGAACGTACTTAGATAGACAGGATTATTTCATAATTAAGGTGGCTGCCTACTATAGAAAACTGAAGCTACTGCGCACGCTCCGACGCAACGACTATGACGCCATTTTTAAGCCCAAGATGTGCGCGCGCTCTTAGACTGTTCAAAACCGAGAACGAACTTCAAAATTTAATTGAGGAACCATACACGTTTTTTAACTTCAACAGAGCAAAACACTCAATTTTTGCACGGGACTGTATATATTTTTTCTAAATTCCAAAAGGGTACATAAAAAAAAAAAAACGCTGAGAGAAGAAAAAAAAGACAACTGCTATAATCTGATTGGCTGATCCGGCATATTTCTATTGTTTTCTAGCCAATCAAAAGCGTAGATGACACTTTTTTACACTGTTATTACAGATTTTTCAGTGCACTGCTCACAGCCAATCAGCTTCGATAATTTTTTTCTCATGATCTTAGTGAGTACTTGACGTTCTGTGAAATCAGCTTCGTCACGAAACTTACCCAGCGAATTCAGTTGAATGCCTCCAAGAAAAAAAATGTATTCCCCAACTTCATCTGGCTTTTGAGAGACGTAGTTCTTACTCTTCCACCAGGATGTAACACCATCCGGGACTATTTATTGAAAAATGTAAGTTTGGGGGCTAGCAATTGTATTTGTTTTTTTGTTTTTTTTACATCCATATTTTCTTTAGGTTGCCCTACTGGAGTAAAAGCTTATCAATGGGGCTCACTAGCTTTTTTAAATTTCCGCTTTTACATGTTTGATGCTTGATAAATTCCTATGTTTTAAATATCAATTACTCTATCTTGAGTGAATCTTTTTGTCTAGAAAATTGTAAGTAAAAGACAATATTTTCTCAAGTGTTTCCTGTCTCTAAAATTATCCTTTTCCCTCAGGTTTTGAGCACAAAAGGGAAGGCCGGATCATCAGAAAAAGCAATTCATGCCGCAGACAGCATCCTGAACCTTTTCTCAGGATTTGATGCCTTTTCTCTGCCTCCTCCTTCCTTTAACCCAGAGGTAGGTGCACAATGCGAAGAAGTGCATGTGCAAAGAAAACGTACTAGTATTTGTCTTTCTAAAAGGAAAACAGGGTAGATACGCTTGTACTTCGGAAGAGTGTAACAAGATGACAGTAGTTTCCAAGGTATATCCAATATTTTTTTAGAAAAATAGAGAAGTGAATAATCATAAAACATTTAAACGAACAAACTTTCTTAAAGTCTTCTTTTTTTCTTTTTCTTTTTTTCTCTTTGTGTCCTTTCTTGTTTCTCGGA